AGCCCACCACGAGCACCAATATTTATTACATATTAAACGAGCTTCCAGCTGATGTCGGGCAGGTGGGACCTCATTTTGTATGTGCAGAGGTCCAAAGAAGGAAAATGAGGGTGTCTAGGAAACCCCCCAGCCAGCAAGCAGTGATGAACCCCCCCCCCCCCCCCGTGTCTGCCATGCCTCAGAGCATCACACGCATACTGCACTCCGCCCCGACGTCTGCGCCGAGATGTTTTAGGAATGAGAGAAATCGTCCAAACCCCTATCTCTGCACTCTGCACAAGGGAATTGGGCAATATTGAGATCAGAAGGGAGGGGGCATCACCAATGCTGGAAACAGATTCCTATTCCCCCCCTCCCAATCCACCAGTGAAGGGTGACTCACACCACAGTGATCCCAGACCTCCCAGTTATCCAAGGGAAAACCAGCAGATGGCCCAGTTACAGCCATTGGCGGAGCCCACCTTACATGCCTTCGGGGGGGGGGCACTTCTGGGGCCCCCACAGATGGTCTCTGATTCAGCATGGAAGGGAACATCTTCACAAAGAAAATAATGAACAGAGGCACTGGGTAGTGAGGTATGCTTCGAGAGCCATGAGGCACCAGAACCCCGATCATCATTTATTCTGCTTATCTGGTTCCCTGCGTTATATTTTAAGAACTAAACCCCCTTTCCAGATGGCCCTGCCACCAGCTGAAGGGTTATCCCATCAACAGATCATGAAGGAGTCCTCAGTGCGACTGTCCAGTGAATGTAATCAAAGCAGTGATTATCAGAGGATGGCGGATTGACGTAGCTTTCCATGAGCGCCCGGGGCAGTCGTTCCGAGTGTTCCTCCAACGGAAGCAAGACTTGGCTCACAAGCGCACCGGGAAACATCGTTGGAGGACAGCACAGATAAGCATCAGCATGATCGTCCTGCCAGTGTGACATAACTTTACAGTAATACCCAAATCAGCACGCAAGCTGAACTCCCTACGCAAATCAACTTCCAGCCACCCCCATCCAAATTCCAGCAAAGCGTCACATCTACGTGGGAGAGGTACTGGGGGGAGTTCGGGGAAGCCTGTGGGACCCCTCCCGGCACAGTCATGGACACACAGTCCTCTTATTATCCGATGACATCATACTATCTTAGCAAAGTCTCAGCATCCTCCTTTGTGTCCTTCAAGGTTATTGAAAACTGGAAGACTCACCCTTCTACAGGAATCAGTGGCTGGTCACGCCACCACACACACATCACAGTACGGGGAACCATCTACCCCATTTATCTACCCCTGACCATCGACCAATCCATATCTATACCTATCTATCGTTCTAC